ATAAAAGGGAGGTCTAGCTTCTGAACTCAAGACTGATAAATGACTTGGCTCAAATCATTTAGTGAAAGGAGGTCCATTTCTTTACAAAAATTTCATAAAAAACTTTTTCCTTATTTCTTAAACAAGCTTCTAATGATGAAGAGCATATTATTGCTAAATATAGATAAAGACCGCTGATAAATTCATTCATTGTTAATAAGCGGGAGATTTTCCTAGTCTGAGCTAGTTTTCAACATATTACTTGGAGAGACTCCTATATAAATAAAGAAAAAGTAAAATTGTCATTCTAATTCTTCAGGAAAAAACAAAGAAAAAGTAGAATTGTCATTCTAATTCTTCAAGAAAAAACATACATCCTGAGGTTGAGATCTAAGTTAATAATAGAAGCAGAGATTGAGTTTTAGCAAATGTAATTTATATCAAACCATTAAAATTACATTTTCCTGCATGGCTTAAACTTGATCGTTCTCTCATCATCATGCAGGTACTACTGGTGGAGAATGAACTCTCTGATCTCTGCTGCATAATGAGAAGCAAAGTAGGATAAGTAAAGATAATACTTGCACAAAAACCCATATCAATCTCCAGAGATCCCTAACAGTGAATATATAAGCTTTAGTTATCGATAGCGTCTGCTGATAGATAATCATAGCATTAATAAGTCAATACATAAAAAAACATACTCACACTTGAATAAATTCTACCTAAATTTCAGGGTGAAATTTTTTGCAAGCGGTTCTATTTACTTCACATCTTTCCTTTGATATGTTAAAAAAACTGTTGCATTGAAGCATACATATGGATTCACATAACATACTAGTCGCCGTACACAAGATAATCTAGATGAAACTTATATATGACAAATGCTTTCAACGTGATCTTAGAGTCAACCCCTGTAGGCTTTGAACCAGAATCGGCCAAAGTTCACACCTGAAACTGAGTTAGAAAACCTGTAAACTAAAATATAACCTGGCTGAATTTTTGAGGGAACGAACAGAAGAGGAGAGGAGCAGAGAACGTGTTCTGCAGCAGGCTTTTCAAAGCCTCTGTTTTGTTGAAGAACACACGCAGCGAAGGAGCAGAAACAAGAAGCAGGAACTCTTTTTTTTTATTCACGTTCTCTTTCATGAAGAGTATTACATGTATATATAGATAAGATTACAACTCCAATTCTTATCCAATAACTAGAAAACTATCTACTAACTAGTATTCTATCCCAATGGGCTAATTGCTTTGAACTTCTATGCACAATGCACATGATACATGATATAATGAGAAGGTGAAACTGGAGAGAAAGATGCATGCAAAACTAATATTTGAATCTATGATTACTACAAAACCCTAAAAGTAGATACATTCACGATGAGAGAGATCAAAGCTAGGTTTGCCTTTCCCCAATGGGCTAATTGCTTTGAACTTCTATGCACAATGCACATGATACATGATATAATGAGAAGGTGAAACTGGAGAGAAAGATGCATGCAAAACTAATATTTGAATCTATGATTACTACAAAACCCTAAAAGTAGATACATTCACGATGAGAGAGATCAAAGCTAGGTTTGCCTTTCATACTACCCTGTAGCACATGCAATCCACTTTTTCACCTCAAAATCTAACTTTGGACCCCACTCTAACCTCCCCTACAAGAAAGGAACAGACCCCACAGCATCCATACTCTTATTTATCAACAATCCTCTCAGTTCTCTCATAAGCTAGCCAACAAAGGCAAAAGCTAAGGAAAATAACCCAAAGAAAGCAGTTTCTAAAAGGATTTTTTTTATAGAACTCTTAAATCATCCATATTTGTAAAATTACCCCCAAAATGTCGGTAATTGCAAAACTACCCCTAAATTCATCAACATTGGAAATAAAATACCCTCCAAATCAAAACATTTATCAAACGATTTAGGGATATATTTAATGCTCTATCCTCTTAATTATCAAGTCCCCTATATCTAATCCCAAAACCGTTTGATAAGTAGAAACATTAGATCTAGAGGTATTTTATTCCAATGTTGACGAATTTGCGGCAGTTTTGCAAATACCAAGATCTGAAGGTAAGTTTGCAAATATGGATGACTAAAGGGTTACTAATATAAAAAAAACCCTTTCTAGAAAGCATTGAAATATTTCTCCATACAGATAAATACCTCCCTACACCACTGCATCTCAACATCCACAGCCAAACACAAGATCAACAACTAGCAACAAATATGAGAGCTGGTGGTTGCACAATATATCAATCTCTCACTCCAGAGGCAGCAGCTATAATCGAGCAAGCTATAGCCTTAGCTCGCCATCGAGGCCATGCTCAGGTCACTCCTCTTCATGTAGCCAGCACCATGCTCTCCTCCTCGACTACCCTCTTTCGCTCAGCCTGCCTCAAATCTCATTCTCACCCTCTCCAATGCAAAGCTCTCGAGCTTTGCTTCAATGTCGCTCTCAACCGCCTCCCAGCCTCTTCTTCTCCAATTCTCATTGGTCTCCACGATTCGAATCGCCATCCTCTATCACTTTCCAATGCCCTCATTGCCGCCTTTAAGAGAGCACAGGCTCATCAGCGGCGAGGATCTATAGAAAGCCAGCAACAGCCCGTTTTGAATATTAAGATCGAATTAGAACAGCTCATAATCTCCATACTGGATGACCCTAGAGTGAGTAGAGTCATGAGGGAAGCTGGCTTCTCCAGCTCCCATGTGAAAGCCAATGTAGAGAAAAATTCTAATCCTAACCCTAGTTCTAGCAAACCAAAGGAACCAATCAAACCAATTAGGATTCCAAGTCCTGTAATGACTGTTATTGAAACTCTAGCGAGCGGTCATCATAAGAGTGTTGTGGTTGTGGATGAGTGCTTAGCCTCCATTGAAGGAGTTGTCAGAGGAGTGATGGATAGGGTTGATAAGGGTGAGGTTCCTGAAATTTTGAAAAGACTACAGTTTATAACATTTCCACTGTTCTCATTTAGGAATTTAAGGGGAGAGGAAGTAGAGCACAAGGTAAGGGAACTGAAATGCCTTATGAGGAGCTGTTGTGTTGGGAGAGGGGTAGTTTTGTACTTGGGAGATCTCCAGTGGGCTGCTGAGTATAGAGCAACTGCTCTGGAAGAAAATGGAAGAGGATATTATTGTCCAGTTGAGCATATAATCATGGAGATTAGGAGCTTGGTTTGTGGAGGGTTTGGAGGGGAGAGTGGTTTAATTGGAGGGAGGTTTTGGGTGATGGGGATTGCTACATACAAGACTTATGTCAAATGTAGAGTAGGGAGTCCTTCTTTGGAGGCTGTTTTGGGTCTGCATCCAATTACTATCCCTGCTACTAGCTTGGAATTGAGCCTCAACTCTGACAGGTGACTAGAATTTTATTATGTACAAACTATTTATACTCCTATATTTCTTCTTAATTCATTGCCCATGATACAATTGAATCTAGTTATTAATTTTAAGTCGATAATTATTTTAATGTGGATTTTTTCTGTGTTAGTAATCAATGGTTGTGAATTAATTACTTGTAATGTGGGTTTCAGTGTGATTCTCTACATAAAACAGGACTTATTAGCTTATTAATGTGAAAAGGTTGCACTTGGTATTCTTTCCTTTTCTCTCTTCTTTTAAAAATAATATATATTATTAAACGTTATTTAAATAGTTCGAATTTAGAAAAGCAAATTCTTTTGAGAAACACATTTCTAAAAAGTCCAATGTATATGAGGAAACTAAATTGAGTCATCGAAGTAGTTAAGCCCATTCCAATAACACCTTTCGTCAGATATTATGCTTATTTATGGGATCTCTAAAATAAAATCATGTATGGTGTCTAAGTTCAGGGGTTGATCCTAAACTTCTCTTTTCTAACCGTTCAGAGATTCAAAAAGCCTATCCAAGAGCAAGAGAAGTGGAGATGGACTTAGTTGGCACTCTTTGCTAGAAGATGGAGCAGGAAACCAGCTTGCTTATTGTGGTGATTGTTCTATCAAATTTGAGAATGAGGCTCTATCACTTCCTAAAATTTCTAGCAGAAGTCAAGGCTCAATGATCACCTCAAATCTACCCTCATGGCTCCAACTGTACAAGGAAGAGAATAAGAGATCAACAAGTAACCACAAGGTAATTAATTGTGATGCTTAACAGTACTAATCCCTCTATTATATAGCTACTAATGTTGATATCAAGAGTTCTAGAGTTATAAGCTTTTCTTCTTAATTATCTTCCTCTTTCTCTGTAGGAATCTAAGTGGAGCTCCATATGCAGAACAACCCACAAACACCAACACCACTCCTCAGAGATCACCCTCCATTTCTCTTCTTTATCTCCATCATCTTCTTCCATTTCTTCCCATGATCAGCCCTTCTTGAGCTTGCAGTACCAGTCCAAACATCAACAGAAAGAAGATCCCAACCGAAACCCTAACTCAACTTCATCTAGTGACACCATGGAAATGGAGCGTCTCTCAAAGTTCAAGGAGCTCAATGCTGAAAACTTGAAGATATTAAGCAATACACTGGAGAAAAACGTACCATCCCAGAAAGCCATAATTCCCGAGATTGCCAGCACCATCCTACAGTGTAGATCAGGGATGATGATAAGGAAGGAGAGATCGAAGTCGTCAAAGAGAAAGGAAGACACATGGTTGTTATTCCAAGGTCGTGATGTTGAAGGCAAAGAGAAGATTGCTAGGGAGCTTGCAGGCCTCGTATTCGGTTCTTACGCGAATCTTGTTTCTATCGAACTGTGCAGTTATTCACTTACTAAATCTGGTTCTACTGAAGATTTTAAAAATAAACGGTCTAGATCAGAAGCAAGCCATAGTTATCTTGAGAGATTATTTGAAGCAGTTTGTCAAAACCCACATCGGGTTTTCTTGGTTGAGGATATAGAACAAGTAGATGCGTACTCTCAAGTTGGTATCAAGACAGCAATTCAGACAGGAAAAATTCGAAGCTCTAATGGTAATGAAGTTAGTATGAGTGATGCTATTGTTATCTTATGTTGTGAAAGCTTTGACTCAGGCTCAAGGGCTTGCTCTCCATCTATCAAGCAGAAATTGGATAGTGAAGATATAAATGTTCAAGAGTCTGAAAAGGAGATGGAGTCGAGTAGTTGCTTGGATTTGAATCTTTGTGTAGTGGATGAGGATTTGGAGGATAACTCTTTTGGCGATACAGGGCTCCTTGAAACAGTGGACAGGGTATTCTTTCTTAATGATCACAATGATCTCGGTTCTTGATTTTCATGTTGAACTATTTTTTTGCCTTTTCAAGTTTTCTTGTAAATTTCAAATGCGAATAGAGAATCCAATGGTCTATGAGATCTTGTGCCATTGAGAAAACACTTGTACAGGTGATTACCTAAGATATAATTGCTAAGTATGTTACCTTTTTCGTATGGATTTATCATTTGCATTGATTGTTTTAATATGTTTTTAAGACAATCATCCTAGTGTCTGTGTTCATTTTTAGATGAAATGTATATGGTTCCAGTATACATTTTCACCAGTAATAACCTCAATCTGTACCATCCCTGTCTGGATATCGTTGATGTTATTGTTATTATTTTTGAACACCATATGCTTTTTTGAGTTAATTCATTGTTTTCTTCAGGGTTATATCATCATATGACCGTATTTATGTCGATTTCTTATTGTACATTTAAGATAATTGTCCTATATATGGTTTTTTTGGTCAATGAAATGAATTTTATTCATCACCAAATGAGCAATAGAGTCATATGTACATTGTCCTATATATGGTTCATAATCGTTTAGATGATGGTTATCTTACACAATAATTACAGTTCATGGTCACCTACACCAACCATCGTACTAACACTGTTAGTGTGTAACATAAAAATACCTTATTTTGAATCTTTTTGCTCCAGAAATATTAGGACGAAGCTTTCTTTCTATTAAATGTGTACTTGCTTATCATGTAACTCAATCCATAATGGTCTTTCCTATTCCGCTAGCTGTTTAACAATGGCTTGGTTCCTTTTGTGGTCTCTCTTTTGCCAAACAAGAAGACTTTGTCTTTGTTTAAAGAATAATTTCAAAGAACAATGACATGTTAGTGCTTAGCAAGTATTGTAGACAAGGTGTATGCATTAAACTAAATTATAGGAAAGTTTAGAGCAAGAGATGCACAACATGTTCAATTTAAAATTGGAGAAGATGCTGAAGGAGAATAATATAGCAAAAATAAGTGGATGTAAAGTGAAAGGTGCATAATAATAACGATGATAGCATGCTACCGAAGATACAACAGTTTGCCGCAAATGAATAGGAAGATCCCTACCGAAAAATGTTAAGATGTAAAATGTAAACCACTAACAAGTTGATTGTTCTGCAACCAAAACTTTTGAACTGTTAAGACAACTATATGTAGGTGGAGACCTTGGTGGACAAAGCAATGTATGTTTACTTTTCATAAATGTTCCTCGTCAATTTAATGATCAATATTTCTTTTATAAAATTGCAACTTCATCTGCCGCTTATATTCCTGGTACATACCTATCTCAACTTTAATAAAGTCAAGCTAATCACAAAAGTTACGAGAGTAATGAAGTCTCATATGTCCAAAACTTCCATGGATTTAATTGGTTTTGTGGAAAAGAGCATGCATATATTGGTGCATGTATAGATGAATTTGATTTATTATCTGATCCTTTTTAAGTAGTTGAATTGTAAGATTTGTGTTATTCGACCAGAATTACATTGACAGGCAAAGTTGGGGTACTGTACCTGTGAGAAAAAGGGCTACCACTAGCTGTAAAGTTCACTTCCTTTCCTAGCATCAACTTGTTAGCTCATGTTTATTATATAGGATTAACATGACATGAGAAAACTTAAATTATGGAAAAGAAAAAACATCTACAGAATACAGTCTCTACATCTATATAACCAATGATATGGTCTGGAATAACTAGATGGATTTCCGTCTAGTTTTGTCTAACTAGACGGATTTCTGGGCAATCTAGACAGATTTTTCCATCTAGGTTACCTTTTTCTACTAGTGAATTATTACTATTTTTTCCCTTAGAGAAGGTCCACATCTTTACTAGCTTGAGAGCACAACGTAAGCTTTCTTGATTGGAGAATGCATGAGAGTGACTGCCAAGGCCAAAAACACTTAATATTACGACAATCCTGTTGAAGAGACTCACAACTATTCATAAGAAAGAACAAAGTAGGATTAAGTTATGATTCAAAACACAAGACCTGTATTAATTAAGGTGGAGCCATTTTAATCATAAGGGGAAATACAATCTTTCTTAAGTAATATAAAGAAGGCACTACCTTTCATGCATGCATGGTGGTGCAGTTAGATAAGAAACCCCTTTTTCTTGCTTTAGATTTCATAACCTGACATTTTCCTCTTAAGAGAAAAAGTACTGGGGAATTAAAAAGAATAATACAAAAAAAAAAAAAAACATAAGCATCTAGTCTTTAGATTTTAAAGTGACTGCTTTAGAATCTAAAAAAGATGATCTTTTTTCTACCTTCCAACACCTCAGACTAAAGATCCAAATGTAAGAAGGGAATTTGTCGTGTTTATCAGTGTAAAAGATTATGGTTAGGATTTTTAAAATTCGTGGATATGTGAAGCATTAGGCAAGGGAAATAATTACTCACCTCACACATGACTATCAAGGTTTTGGATATTCCATCATGAATCTATTCTCCTCTGCTTTATAGTCACCTATTTCCATTCTCAAAATGGGAGAAGCCCCATTCAGATTACTTTCCTCTGAATTAATTACATACTTTTCTGCAACATAAATTTCTTTGCTTTCCTAATCTTCTCAATGAAGTTCTCTTTTTAACTATGTAAACACAGTTAAAAAGAGCTTCAAAATCATTTTACATATTCATACATTACTGAGGCAAAATAAGGCTACATAAATGAAACAAATTATCTACGAACTAAATGAAAAAAAAGAAAGAAAATAAACAATATGTCTCTCCTGTTCCTTTATAGTTATTATTTATTTAACTTTTCCTGAGAAATGATAAGTAATTAAGCAAGTGAAGAGTATGGATATAAGCTTTTTAAGCCCAAGGGAATCTAATTACCCCATACAATTTGTACATAATTACCCTCGTATTACTGGGCAAAATTGCATATATCCTAACTATGATATGTAGAACTGCATGCCTAAGATATGCATACGCCCTCTCATGTGCGCAAAATCAACACATCTATACTGCTATATTAAAAACTTAGTGAGGGTGTTAAAGTTTGGAGGATGGGAAACTAGTCCTTTATTTCACTAAAGACATGATGACAATTTGATCATTTCATGCAATTTTTTCTTTTCTTATCTTTTCTTTTTCTTTATTTCTGAAACTTTCTAAGGCATACCATAGAGCTTACTGATTATGTTGGTTTCGGGAGCATAGACACAAACCTGAAACAAAATCAAAAGCTGAAAATTCCAGACCAATCGACCAAAGGGAACATCAGTCGGCCGATTCGAACACTAAGAAAATAGGAAGTCTTTGTTCGGTCGACTGATATGAGTTATCAGTCGACCGATAACATGCACGAGCAGTCCTGAGAAAAAACACCTTCTGGTTGGTTGACTGACGCCAAGCGATCGGTCGACCGATAACGTGCACGAGCAGTCCTGAGAAAAACACCTTCTGGTTGGTCGACTGACGCCAAGCGATCGGTCGACCGATAGTATTATTAATATTTAACTTTTTAGTTCATACACATATCTGAGTATATGGGTTTATATATACATATTTTCTACCAAAATGTCCTACATAAACCAAAAGAGTAACTATGAAAACCCATATACTGATATTACAAAATTGCCCTAACAGTTATGCTCTATTTCCCTGAAGAAGAGGAGCTGCTGGAACTAGACTTCTCCTCAGTTGGTTCAGTCTCCTCTGAGTCTTGGTTATCAACAGAATTGGACATTGGATCTGGATCTATGCCGCTAGTCCCCCATCCTTCAAGGTCAAGATCTGGACCAATGCCTAGGCTACTCGACTCACCCACAGAGGGGGCAAGTCTCTGGTCATCACTAGGAATCTGGGCTACAACGGACTCCATGTCGGAGGGGTCGGATGAAATCATAATGATTGAAGGCGATGACTCAACTGGGAGAACTTCTACCACGAGATCCTCAAGCTCAGACTCGGATGAATCTACCATAACAACTTCTACTGGTTCGACCTCCGGTGAGTCGGGGGTCATATGGTTAGCCATTATCACGTTCGGATCGGTTTCATCGGAAGTGTATCCCCAGTCTCTCAGGCTGGGTTCCCACAAGTTATCTATGGAAATCATAGGGCTGGACAGGGTAGCTGACGAACTGGAAGATGAACTGGTTCCCGCCATCCTACAAAAGGGGAACCATCCATCAGCTTACTGAAGAAAAAGGACAAAGTAAAATAAAATAAACATCTAAGCACTCCTTAATGAACCCTAAAAGGTTTTACTATAAAATATTTATATGCATACATATATATATATCCGTATGTATACCGACATATATCACATAATTGATCCATACGCTAACACTCATCTAGCGCATATACTCTATGATAGCGTGCCCTACAAGGTTTTTAACGTCGAAACCTAAGCTCTGATACCACCTTACTGTCACGCCCCGAAACTGCAGCGGAATATCATAAAATACGGGGTACGCGACAGCAGCGACCTGTGCACGAGACAAGTCTTATGCACAAGTCAAGCCTGACAAATCATATCGCATAGTTTATTTTCAAAATATTCATAAACTTTATATATATATATATATATATATATATATATATATGATCGGTACTTACAGCCCACAAGCTCACCGTTATAAGCATTTTTACAAAACAAAACAAAATACGCTGAAGGTAACATCAACAAGAAGAGACTCTCCATATAACGCCTCTCAGTCAAAAGCTCAAACCAAAAGTTCGGCTACGATGAAGCTACGCCGGATCTGAAAAAAATTAAAAACAACGGAATGAGCTAGCGCTCAGTGAGAACATTTCCCACTAGAGTTCCTAGATAACTAACAAAATAGTAATAAGAATAATTCTCATAAATAACAAATTGCAAAATTTGCATGAGAAATTCAAAGATAATAAACTACGATCCAGATATTATAATATTGTTATTTTTAAGAAAGAATACAACAATTATATTTTCTTTCTCATGTGCAACTGAATAAACTGTGAAATTTCTTGGAATCAAACTCTTTTTGAATCAAGGTAAACATTAAGAAGAAAAGAACTACTAATTTGGGCAAAATCAGAGAATTGTTGTTTTCTTAATTTTACAGTCAAATTATCAGAATCTTATTTCTCGATGAGTTATTTCATGAACGTAAAAGTCACCCCATAGGTCACACTAAGGCTATGAATTTTAGCCCAATA